ATTGCACGCGTTCCTGAGCTTCGGCGATCTCTTCTAGCGTGTTATGCTTTGATAAGGAACTGGCAAGGTCTCTCAATACCAGATTCCCCTTATATACCGAGGACAAAGAAGCATGCTTGGCTATGTTTTTGGACCCACGCTTCAAGTCAACGGTATTCAGAAACAACAAACAAAAGTTGGTGTGGCTGAAAGATCTGGTGCTTCAGGATGCTGCCCTATGCCCTGCTGTGGAAGTCGTGCAGCCAGCAGCAAAAGTGCAGGAGCCACAATAGTGTGTGCAGCCATCCTCTGATGTTTGGAGTGCATTTCATAATCTTGCAAATAGTCAAGTAGCAAGTGAACCACTGTCTACTTCATAATGGGAAATTAAAGCGTATTCTGAAGAAGCCCTGCTGAAGAAAGAAGCGACCCATGTGACTGGTGGCGGACTGCGGGCACCTTCAGATACCCCAGTCTGGCAAAGCTTTGCCCCAAGTACTTGCCCCTACCAGCCACTTCAGTTCCAAGCGAGCGTGCCTTTTCAGTGGCAGGGGAAGTTGTCTCTGTTCGGAGGGAGCGCCTCCTGCCTGATCATGTGGAGCAACTCCTATTCCTTCATGATAACATGTAGTCATTATGTTTCATAATAACAGCTAGTCATTACTTGCATTGTGTTCCAAGTAACAGTGTATATTGTGTTAACAGACATGCTGTTGTGTATTTTTTTAGATAAATACATCTTAAATTATTGTTACTGTAGAGGCATTTGTCCTTTGATATTCGATATTCGAATCGATATACGAACATGAATATTCGTATTCGATTCGTATTCGAAAAATTTCATATTCGCACACCCCTAGTTTTTTTATTAGCGTACAAACAATATGAATACTATCTCTATTGAAACCTTAGTTCAAGTAATGATCAATAGTCATTTCAGTCTGCCTCGCCTAACGACGGCAATATAGTCGGAGGGCAAGCAGAACATTTAAAACATGCAAGTCAGGATAACATCACACAGCAATAACAGAGGCGATTCTGTCCTTTTCTGGTGCGGTTATTTCGATCCCAGGAATGCCACAAACACGCTACATTGCCTTCCGCGGATCCCAACAAATACAGCTCTGAGTGCTCAAAACAGAGGGCGTAAATCTACACTAAACGGGCTGGAACCCCAATCCGACAATTCACAGAGCCAGCAAAACAAAAAGAAGAACTTTCGAGTCGAGTGAAGCTATTGTGTGTGTATATACAGTGTAGCGTATGTGCGTATCTCCAAACATAGGATGTCCACGGAAAGGCAAAAAAAAAAAAAAGACGGAGCATGATTGCTACAGAAGAGACGGTGCATCTGTGGCCTTAGCAGAGAGTGGCAGTTCTTTTCGTTTTCCCGTCCTTCCCGTCCAATGCAATAAAGCCCCCGATGGAGAAAGGAACCGGGGCGACACCATGCGGGGCAAACAAGAAATGTCTGACAACCCGCACAGCAGGCGGACCGCGACGTAGCACTTAGAGCTCAATCAGACAATAAGGATCCATGCTACAGCCGACACAATTGCATGCCTGTCTCATTGCTTTCACTTTCTTTTTTTTTCTTTCTCACATCTACCGAACGCCAAGGCTTAACGTTGGGGTACGTATACGAGACCCTCGCGTATTGACCTGTCGGCTAAGCCTGTTGCTTTTCCATCAGTTCTTGTGTCGACAAGCGATGGGTAAGCCTAGCCCATCGGTATGGTTGTCTTACCTGGGGCTATCGTCGCCCGTATCGCTTACTTCTTTGTACACAGGAGCTGAGCAAGCAACCCTGAGAATTGAGAGAGCCAATTCTGTCACGCCCAGCCCCGTATACTTTTGTGTTTGCCTCACTTTCCAGACTGCGTCAATATATTGACCTCGTACCGCCTGGCAGAAGGTAGCCGTAAGTGTCTGCTCTATCACGTGATTCGTTTCTTACAAGAGCGTAATAGGCTTCAAGGGGATCAACATATAACGAGGCGCTGTTGTGAAGACTCGTGGCAATGCGACTAAGCAAACACAATATTGGTGGTTGTTTTATTTCGTAACTGTTTCCTGACAGGGGCCAGTCGTACACACCTTCATGCGCTTTTGCTACATCTTCCTTCAGTTTTTTTTTTTCTTTAGCACTGCCATAGAACGTTGAAAGAGGAGTGGCTTGGTAACTTACGCACACTTTCTACTTTGTGGCTTGTGAGAAGTATGGTAGCCATACCTCTTCGTTGTGTTCTCACTTCTATATTTTTTTTGCGTGGAGAAGACGCCGCCGACAATGAATCACATACAGAACTACATCAGACATAAACTCTGCTTTCAGGACCTTGCTGATTGTGGGCGAGCACTCCAACAAGTTTAATACTGAACCAGATGAAGCTTAGACTTTTCATATATTGCTTTTCTTTGAGAAGTGTAGTCTAATTTAGGTAATGACAGTTAAATATACAACGCTATTGCACGCGTATTCCGTCAAATCAGGATTATTTTGAGCAGAAACATGATCAGAGTGACATGCCTGTACCCCTGTGCTTGCGGAAGTTACTAAATACAACCTATTTTCTTCCCCCCTCCTATGTTTCCCACCCTCATAGTGAGAAAAAAGAGAGGCGCCAACGGAGATCTTGTAAACATGCTCTTTTCTTGTGGTGCCCACTTAAGGAATCCAGTGGCTTTGCTCAGTTGGTCTACGCACTACGTTAATTATAATATAAATTCACAGATCCCACATAACAGGAGAATTGATGTCATGCGAAGCATGCAGAGGCAGGTGCTTGTTGTCTAGTTGTTGTTTTTTTTTTGTTCTCGAAATGTTTCGAAATGACGCTAAACATGTGTACAAACGTCATACTCACTGACGTGTACGTTGAACAGACGCATATGGTTTGTACAGCCAGTTGTTTACAAATCCATAGCGATGCCACAAGCTACATGTGTACTACGAACACCAAAAAAGGTAAGCTGAAATGCAGCGCTTGTGCTTGCAAAGAAGGCAGCCCTAGGTAGTGCAACGTACAGCCACTTATCTGGATTGCCCTTACCTACCACTGACGCTAAGCCAGCATCACACCTGTACCATTGAACTGCATATGTAATGTTTATAAAATTAGATTGGCAGCATTGCAATCGCTAATGAAATTTCACCAATATTACACCTGCATAGGTTCTTCCAAATGGGTTTCTTGACATGGCGTGCCTCTCTGGCAAAATGCTTGATTGCCACGCAAACTGATTGGGTTAAATCCCTTCTGGGACAATAACAGTCATGTTTAGCGTTTCTCAAGTCAGTTATGCTGATTTTTCTTTTTCATAACACTTTTGCATTCAAATTTACCTAGCGTGTTATCGCCGTTCCTTCGTAGAAATCAACTTGTCGAACAACTGTGGCGCATAGCCACATTTGGCTCATACACGATGACATTTGCACCGAAGCACACAAATATGTGGTCAATTTTCTATCACCCAATACTGTGTAACAGCTTCTGTGTTTGGTTGAAACAACACTCCCCCTCCGATATTCACTTCACTCAGCAACGAAAACGAACGCTAGTGCGTTTGAGTGGGTCCAAGCAGGCTGCAGATATAATTATATTCCGAACTTGAAATAAGATAGGGCCACACGTTGGCACATCAAGGACGTACCAACTTACGATACGCGTTCCGCACTTAGGACTCGTTTGGACTACGTAAAGAAAGTCTTCCTCCGCCGCCCTCGCTTAGACTCACTAAATATTTTCTCAGCCAGACTGGCTCGCACTCGGGCTCATCGAAATATTACACAGCCGGAGTCACTCAAACTTACATTCACAGCTCTCTTGTGATTCGACTCTTGAGGGAGTTCACCCACTTATGATTCATGACCAATCTTGCTTGTCGCCCCCGCCATAGGCACTGGCTGCATTCTCGGCGCGTTCACTCCTAGCAACGTGTGTGTTTTGGCGTCAATATACGTGCGTGGCTTCTACTATTAATGTCTGCCTAAACAACTAGGCCGAAATAAGTTTATTGTTCTGGGTGAACCAGTGCTCCCCTTTCAGAGGCGAAGCTCCTTATAGCGGCACCCATTCGTCCCTCGTAGTGTCGTAGTGTGTAACAATAGTTACATTTTGACCTCCAAGGTGGTGCCGGTGGGGATTTCTTCTGTGCGTTGTTGAGCAATAAAAATAGTGCTCAATGTACATGCCAATAGCTGCTAATGGGGAATGAGAGACAGGAGCATTCGGCTTTTAGTTAACACGCACGGTGCGATCCCCATTAGCAGCCATTGGCATGTACATTGAGCACTATCTGACAAGAAAGGGTTGCAACGTTATACTCGCTGGGTGTAACCTCTTTAGTTTTAGAAAAGTTTAGCGAGCGTTGAGCCACCGTGCGCTGAATACAATGAACTAGTATATACCATGAACTCGACGTGGTTAAAGGTGGGAAGTAGATATGAAGTGCAAGCCGTAAGAAAGTAAAAGCCGAATTCTCCTGTGTCTCATTTCCCATTAGCAGCCATTGGCACGTACATTGAGCACTATCTGACAAGGAAAGGTTGCTACGCTATACTCGCTGGGCGTAACTTCCTGGGTTTTAGAAAGGTTTAGCGAGCGTTGGGCCGCAGTGCCATGAATACAGTGAAGTAGTATATACCATGAACTCGAGGTGGTTAAAGGTGGGAAGTAGACCCGAAGCGCACGCCGTAAGAAAGTGTGTGTGTGTGTCACATCTCGTTTAGTACTTGCAATGTCCGCTGAATGGCGGTGCTTCTATATGGGGAATATATGATGAAAAGATGCTAGATGGTGGTACTTGGATTGTTGAATAGATGGACGAACGTACACACAGACAGATGCATGGATGGACGCATAAACGGACGCAGGGTCGGATGCATGGACGAACGCAGGAACGGACGCACGAACAGACGCACGCATGGACGGTCACACAGACGGACGCATTGACGGATCGAAGCAAGAACGAATGGACGGACGAATGCTTCGCCCCACTCTCCATCATTCACTCCGTGGATATGCTGCCAATTTTATTTCCCCAATGCCAACAAAACTCAGCTATCACTCGACAAAACAGTTGAAAATGAGTCAAACCTGGCAATTTTTATTTTCATTCTTTGGCTATGTGAACTACCAGAGAATCGAAAGATGATACACACTTGAGCTAGTTGGTTGAGATGCATGGTATAGTTTAAAAAAATGCGCGAAAAGAGACACAAAGAAACAGGACAAGCGCTACGTGCACTTGTTCAAACTATCAACGTGTCATACGCAACTGCGTCTGCTGGAAAGGAGGATGGACGAAGACGCGGCTCCAGGCCATGTCAGCATGTGAATACTACGCGCGCCCCCTATGGGGTTTCTTGCTTTGGGGACGCCGCATTTCAACCTTCCTGTCGTTGCTCGTCTGCGTGGGGTCTTGCGTACGCTGCGTTTTCACTCTCTTGCGACTGTTTGTACGCTTGTTAGGTCTGGCACGCTTCGTCGCGGTGTTTCTTAGTTCACTCTCGTCCACGGAGCATTGTTGGTTGATGACAGCGCTCCGTCTGAAAAGAGCCTTCACCGCGGGATTTTCGAAGCACAAAGCTTCCCCACCACGGCTGTTCGCCTGAGACTCCTGCGTTGGAACAAAATGCAGTTGTTGAGGCAATGGTGATGCAACCAACGCAATAGCAACTGAATGTAACGTTTTACAAGGGAAGGCTAACAGCTAATCACTTGTTTAAATCCAATATTGCGTATCTTTAGAAGGCACTATTGTAAGGAAATACGGCCGCAGTTGAGAGAGAAGTGGTTTTTATATTAAATCTCGCCCGACGAAGAAGTAGTGATGGTGAAGTACGTGGAAGGGTATACGAGGTATTTGCTAGATTTCGGAGTTGTTGCTCGAGAGACGCAGCCTTCACCCCATTCGCATGGCGCTTCTTAACGCTCATCGCGGAAGACTTCCGTAATATTTTATCTTTGCTTGAAAAGCAATCGACGACAGATTTCTCCCGTAAGGTGATGTTACCGCATGGTTCCTTTTGTCACGTCCAAATCATGCCTGTTCTCCTGGCGCCCAGTACGGCCTCTCATTCTCGCTTTCACCACGAACTCATTGCTTTTGTCTGTGTACGTAACGATAATGGTTAAGTATCGACTGATAGCAGCTCTGTTCTTTATGGGAGTCAAACACGAAACTTTTAATAGTGTTTTTAGCCTCTAATAAAAGGCCATGTTGTAAACAGCCTAGAAAATGGCCTGGATTTCGTGGCTGCACCCTGAAAACGTAGTTACAGTATTTGCTTAAGAGCTAGCTATAGAATCTTACTGTGACGTTTTAATTGTATTTTCAGCCTCTAATAAAAGGCCATGTTGTGAACAGCCTAGAAAATGTTCTGGTAATCGTGGCTGCACCCTGAAAAAACAGTGTTTGCATAAGAGCTAGCTACGAATCTTACCGTGTCGTCACAACTCAACATTAGCTTCTCGTCTCGGGTTTGCGTAAATATCGAAATATTCGCTCGGCCGCGCCACTCCGTAGTTCACTTACTGAAGCGCAAGCGACCATTTTTATTGCTGTGATACCTCGCGTCAACACAAATAGGCCTACTGTTGCGTGCAAGTCACCGCTGTAGGCTGACGTCACCGCATGCATTTTTAACTGCGTGAACTATGCGAAAATCGATTACAATGTAAAGTAAACAGCGAACCAGTGTACACCCTTAAGAGGGTATTGTAATGTGTATAACTAACACGCTTACATCATTGAAAAACGGTGTTTTCACGTATGGAAACACCCGTACGATAGGTTGTTTGTAATGCCTAAACGCCCCCATCACTGAAAACACGTTAATAAAATCTACCAGTCAGGAAACACGTATTGAGAGATGAAATCACAATAAAAGATGCAACCGCTATGTTACTCAGCTATGCAACCACTGATCAAGCCATACACACTACCAAGCGTATGGTAAAATAGCCCATGAGTGGAGCACTAGCACTACACAGCTTTTAGGCGTCCGTTGGGTATGTATAGCCGTATATTATACAGTATTTTAAGCCACTGTTCAGTGCTGGTTCGAATATTCCTGTTTTGGATATAATAACAGAAAACGGTAAGAGAATCCGCCTAAATTTGCGGTATGATTGTAGATAGCCCTGAAAGAGGCATATCATGTAATGCGAGTAATTCACCTAAGATCCCATGCATTTTTTAATCAGCGGTACCACTAATCATTTTGTTCACTCTTGTATAGGACATAAATGTTTCGATAACCCTAACACACCCTTAACTCCTAAAGGGTGTCTTGTGGTGTCATCCATTAGAGGATACAGAGTGGTCGACAAACTTTGCGCCGGAGCACTCCACTCTGGCGAAAGGCAGCGGACGGGAATCTGCCCAACGCCGACTAAATTTCAAGGCCGAAAGGCTGCCGCAGTGACGTCAGAGTTTGGGGGCCCAGTTGCCACAATGAGCATGCTCAGTAAGACTTTTTTTTTCCACATCTTTTATTCGGCCCAATCAAGCCGCAGCAGCTGCGAGAGCGGGAGCGTTGGTTCTCCTAAAACGTGAACGAAACACAGGCTTCCGCCACGTTCGCGGCGTAGCTGGGCCCCCACCCTCTGACGTCACTGCGGCAGCCTTTCGGCCTTGAAATTTAGTCGGCGTTGATCTGCCAATGAAACACACGCGACTTCCTCTGGAGTAAATGGCAAGGGTCAGATATGAACGCGATGACGCACGTCTCTCTCCTTGCTTGAGTCGGCACGCTGCGCACAGCAACGCTACGCTAGCAAAACGTTAGATCCGACGTGAGGCGCGACTGACGTGAACAGCGTCCGTTGGCGTGCGCCCAGTTGGCACCATTTCGAGGCACAGGGCACCTGCGACTTCCGGTCGTATCCGCCGATTTTGATGGAGTGGAAAAAAGTTGCTACGTGAAGTGGATTTCGCGACGGAGCTGCCCTGAGATCGGCCAATGGAACATACAGGGAGCACTCTCAATCCGCCAATGGAAGAGACTGGCTCCTACAAGCAGAAAAAAAGTGTTACCGGAAGTGCTCCGAATCTGCCAATAAATGACACCATTAGATAGGACATCACTGCAGCGGTGGTGAAGTGCTTCGGCGTCATCTAGGCACTAAGTCCGAGCCCTCGTGCCGGCCGGCCACCCACCGATTTCGAATGGGTACAAGTGAGCTTCGCGGTGGTGCTACGAAGTGTGGCAGCTTGGGCTAGTTGGTATGGCATGGCGATAGTTATAGCGCGAGAACCGAACGACGACAAAGAGACAAGAACGTGTCCTTCGTGTCCTTCTTGTCTCTTTGTCGTCGTTCTGTTCTTGCGCTATAACTATCGTCAGGTGCTACGAAGTCGCAGTGGTTCGAAGCTCGTAGTGCTTGGAGGACTCCCAACCAGCTGCGCTGGACTTATGTGAGTTAGAACGTCACCTGTTAAGGGCTGTTTGTGGAGAGAAAACTCCCTTACACCTCTATTCTTCTAATTTGGTTCTTTGAAAGGGTGTCTTTTATGCTTGAAACGCCGGGAGGCTTGAAAAGCACCTTTCATTGTCAGCATTTTCTGAGCTTTAGACTTCATGAAAGACACCTGTGCACACATACTTGTATGGCAGAGCAAATTTTGCTGAAGAATGTAATGCAGAGTGAAATCGGTCTGTCCCTTCAAATGAAAAGCTGGGGCGTGCCCACACGTCCTCTTCTAAACTCGGGTGGCTGATATTTCGCTGGTCGTTCAGCCCGCCAAGAAAATTCTCTTCTGGAAGTATCATGGGACAATTTAGGGTCAGACCATTCGAAGTCTTTAGAGCAGATCTATATATAACTACATGAGCATTGTGTTTAACCACCATGGAAATGAGGCCAGTGGGACCGGAAACCAAAATCGTACATCACCTTCGTAAACGAACACCTGCAACGGTGGGTGGGATCAAAAGCTTTACATCTCTTGGCACCTTCAGTTATTTTTGCCTGCAGCGTACGCTAAAGAGTGGACAAGAGTTAGCGCCCTGTGTGTCTCGATGTGCCTCCATTTCGTCCTCCCTTTTATGTGCGCAAAAAAAAACAAAACAAACTGAAGATATTGTACCAGCGAGCCCGCATCCCATCTTTCGTAAACTTTATGCCTCTTCAAACGACCCTATTGACCGTAGGCGTACTTCAGTGTCGGTGTCAGTGTGAGTCATACAAAAACATTATGTTATGACGTCATCATGACGTCCCTAAATGCCAAAATCAGCGACCTCACCGTGACTTGATATCCCGTCGTCGTATGATATAGGCTGTGTTCCAATTCTTTGACAGCACGTAGACGGTCTACGAAGACTGCTTAGAAGACAGCATCGAGCCCATGCTGTCCGAGAAATGGAACACATTTAAACGGCTTTTACGCGACATTGCGGCACCTCGCGCCGAGAAGAAAAAGCTAAAATAAATTAACGTAACAGTTGTATTTTCAGGCTTATTTCACGTTGAAATCAAAAACGAATAAACTTTACTCACATTGAGCGTCTGGAAAAGCGTCAGCTTGTGTGCAGACGACCATTCCGGCGAGATTTGATCTATCTGAGTGTATCTGAGCGATTCTCTGAGCCGCCATCTTGTTTAGACTGCAATGTAGCCTGCATCGTATTTGTCTACGATGCGGTCTTCTCAGAGCTGTCTATTTTGCCGGCTACGTGAGAATTAGAATAGGACTTAAGATGGCCGCCGTCTATTTAGCTCTCTACTCAGCCGTCTACGGTGAGTATTGGAACACTGCCATTGTACCTCGGTAAAAGTGTGCCGGCCATGGAGGCAGCGAAAAATCAAGTAAGGTGCAGAAAGTGTGCAATGTCTTTAAACCTCGAGGTTGTGGTGCAACGCAAAGTGCAAAAAGCTTTCGGACTGAGATGGAAAAAAAAAAGAAAACAGCTTGCACATTGGAGTCGTCCCAAGTGAATGCATCAGAGACTGGTGAATTTCTTTTCGCTGCAAATTAGACCACTCCAAATTTACATGTCTTAATCCCGCTGCCAGAAATCCATCACTTACCATGCGATTCATGGAAGCGAAGCAGAAAACATCTTTGTCAATGGAGACTGCCCATTTGCTGTGGTCCACTGCACCGCTGAATTTGACGAAATTGTATGCGTCATATCTCATGATCACTTCCTCGATGTTGAAGACGGAGCAGGTTGAGCTGCGCACATTCGGAAGCCGAGTTCCAGCGCCTCTAAACCAAGCCTGCACAGCAATCGGACCCTGCAAGGCCTTCGCAAGCACCCCGAAATGCAGATCTGTAAATGTGGGATAAAAAGAGACGTTTGGCTTGTTGTAAGTCACGCAGTCTCCGTTTACGAACAATGAAACGAATGAATTAGTTATGAAGAAAAAAAAAGGACAGACGTTGGCGAAGAGAGAATATTAGAAGAGAGGAGAAGGAGGAAACGAATGACTGATGTGAGAAAGGAAGAAAGAATGGGAAGGAATGGATAAAAAAAACAAAGCATGAAATGATTGAAGGAGGGAAGGAAAGAAGCTCAGGAGCGATGCAGGAAGGAAGAAAAGTTTGCGAAAGAGGAATCTAAGAAATACTGAAAGGATGAATGAATAAATGAAAGAAGGCAGATAGGAAAGGAGGATGGGAGAGAAGGAAACTATGAGCAAAGAACGAATAACAGAAGGAATCTACAAAAGATGGATGTGTGAAAGGAAAGAATAAGGGGTAAGCAGGTATGAAAGGAGAGAGGATGGAAGAATTGTACCAAGGAAGTGTGGCGGAAAGGAATGAAGAAAGCAAGAAAAAAAAACGTGGTTGGTCCTTCTGTCTAGAAATCGGTATAACCCGAAAGTGGAAAGTGTCTGCAAATTGTAAGTTGAGCAGTTACTGTGCATTGGTTCGCCAAAAGGAGGGAAAAAATGAATGTTACAGCAACAAATTGTAGCGTCACGCGAAGAACGACAAGCAGTTCGTAGGTTGCAGCGCGCACCTCAAGCAAAAAGTACGCCCGAAATTAGCGTGCAGAGGAGGAGCGCGAACAACTGCCACAATGTTTCTTCGTGTGCGAGCGTCAAGCTACTTTTATTAACGCGGCCGCGGCAGCGAGCGAAGGGACCTCTGTGTTTTTCTTTAACCACTGTAACTTCCAAGCAAACCATTGCCACAATGTTTCTTCGTGTACGAGCGTCACGCTACTTTTATCAACGCGGCCGCGGCAGCAAGCGAAGGGACCTTTGTGTTTTCTTTAACCACCGTAACTTCCAAGCACACTTGTGGAAGAAGCGCAAAAGGTAGAAAGCATCCGAATTAAGAGATAATTTTGCGTACACGAGCCACCACACCCTGTGGAGGCGCGCGCTCATCGCAGTGCATGGGGCGATGACCTTTAGAGCATGCCCGATGATCGCCCTTCGCGCCGTCTTCGTTCTGATGACAAAAACGCGCGTGAATTGAGGAGTTCTGAGCACTGTGAACACTGTATGGTGTATATAAAAAGCTCGCCGTGAGCAAGCTGGAAAATATATAAGCTCGATAACGTACGTTTTGGTGCAGAAACGGGTATGATGCATGATTGTTTGGCTATCTTGACCTGTAGAGAAGACGGTAATAAGAAAAAGTTTTGTTGCTTAGTGATTTGTCCCACGTGCTGTGGGGCTACAAGTCATAGGTTTGACACTCGGAGACAAAACTTTTCTTCTCGTTCTTTTTTTCGTTTTTTTTAATTTATTAGTATGTACGTTACAGTGTCATATTTGTGACGGAATAACACCCGCAGAGGCGTTTTGGACCCACGCATAAGAGACTTTTGTGCCAAAAGGTAAGGTAGGAAAGAAGGTAGGCAGCATGGAAGAAAGAAATCGATTGATATGTTGGGTTTAACGTCCCAAAAACACCATATGATTATGAGAGACGCCGTAGTGGAGGGCTCCAGAAATTTCGACCACCTGGGGTTCTTTAACGTGCGCCCAAATCTGAGCACACGGGCCTACAACATTTCCGCCTCCATCGGAAATGCAGTCCCCGCAGCCGGGATTCAATCCCGCGGCCCGCGGGTCAGCAGCCGAGTACCTTAGCCACTAGACCGCGGCGGGGATGGAAGGAACAAAGTAGTGCCCGAAAGAAGGCAGCAAAGATGGAAGAAAATAAGAAATGAAAAATTTGTAGGAAGGAAGCAGACCTTGTCGTTTCAATACAAAAGACTTGCAACTGTTATCATTCACTTTAGTTAGCAATTTTTTTGTATGTCAGGACTTGAGGAAGTTGCAATGCGCTTAGACGTGCTTTTACAGTGCGCAGAAAAGTGCGTGTTGTAAACAATGCCGCAATCGCAACGTCATCCGGCCCGCTGCTCCTAGCTATGCTTTATCGATCATGTCTGCTTTCACTTCTCTTTCTATTCGGTGATGGTCACGTTTCGCTGTGCTAGTTGATGCATAGTTATAATGCAGTAAAGCGGCGCAACAGGGGACAAAGAGGAAGGAAATAAATATATTTGCGGTGTGCGCTTTCACTTCTTCCCTTGTCTTCGTCTTTGTGCTATGCGGAGAGGTTCTAAAAAAAGGAAATGAAGAGAAAAGCGCGTCGTTGTAACTGTCTCTCTCATGGATGTCACCATGTGGCGGCTTTTTTCGGTATTGCGCGGTGAGTGGCAATTCTCAGAGTAACACTATAGATTTTTTCCCAGCCTCTTTCATCAATACTCAGAAGGTGTTAAGGCAAACGTAATCACACTTCAATAGAACAAATAGTATATAGCGAATTATCGGCTATAGCGAAGTAAATAAATGACCACCTTGTTATTGTTAAACCTGAACAATAAAATTTAGAGCATATTCAAGCAGTTTACTCTCTTGTCGTGTGTGAATTGGTTTTATTGTGTTACCTGTACGTGTGCATTGTGCAAGTAATGAAACACGACTACAAATGCTTCAAGCGTGAAAGTTCGCCCGATACAACCACGCCCTACGGAAGGGATTAGTGAAGGTGAGGGTGACTCGGGTGTAAGTGTAAGTGCCAATATCAAGCTGACGTGAAACTAACTCAACAAGCGCTGGAAAGGCGATATAGCACGCGGCTCACTTAAGCCTGAATGACGTCGTTTCATTACGTCAGCACTGGAGTTTAGAAAAATGGTAGAAGATGTGCCTCACCTTGGCGTGCGGTCGCCCTCTTAGCGTACGCATTCAGTTTAAGGCCGCCCTCGCTGGTCAGTGTGGTGGCGTAGAGCGTCTCTTGGCTGTTCTGAACGAATCTGTTGTTAGAGAGCTGCTCCACCTCGCGGTACTTGACCTTCATAGCCGGCGGCACCCTGGAGGCGTAGACGTTGGCGTACTCCGTCCGCAGCATCCTCGCTGCGAAGACATTAGTTTGCAGGTGGATGAAAGTGGCATATCTTGCGTTTGCATGAAACCTACGAGTCCAACTCAATTACTACTCGTTCATCAACTATGAGTATCACATTTACATCTTCTGTCTGAAAATAGAGTTGAAATTACGTCACGCCCTTAGTGTCTGCGAACAGAAAGTGAACGCTGATCATAAAAGAACAACTTGTTTCCTCTAGCTTTATTCTGGAATTCTATACTATCAAATAATAAATCAAGCCCTTCAATACAGTGCTTCCGGTGTGATTGAAAACGGTTTCTAATTAGCAACACCATGCGCTACCTTAATAAATGTGCCTAATGCCACGCAATAGGGGCCGCAGAGACAAGAAGAACAGCGTGGCAGTGAGACGTGTATCGTGAGCGATGGTTGGTTGGCTGATTCGTTCCTCGGTATCTTGGCGCAACCCACTTCAGGGGATAGGCCATGAACGTTGATGATGATGATGATGATGATGATGATGATGATGATGATGATGCCTCCACTATGGCTCTTGCCCACTCAGGGGGATTGGCCAAGAATTGAAAATATAAAATTCAAGGACTTTCGAGTGATACGCAATTCTGACAAATGGATAATAAAGCAAACGTAAAAACAGAAAGAGTGCAATAATTTTTTTTGCTGTTCTGACCAGAAAAAAAATAGTAGAATTGAAATTGCAGTAATTTTGAACACGTTTAAGATTGACGTTTAGAAATTGCTTGTTAATAATATAATAAGTAGAAATTTAGAAGCACGTACGTTTGTTTCATGAACATAACTGCACACGACATCGAAGGCGTTCCTGTGGCTGTAGCCCAGAACCGAAACACCAAAGGAATTAAGGGCTAACACTTCGTGTTTGTGCTCTCCCTTTTCGGCGGGCCATGGCTTGCCAGCTCACAACACCAGGTGGCAATATGCATTCATACAATTCTCTCTCTCTTCTCTCTCTCTCTCTCTCTCTCTCTCTCTCTCTATATATATATATATATATATATATATATATATATATATATATATATATATATATATATATATATTATTAGGAAGAAGACGAAAATAACCAGAAGTAGAAGAAGAATGACAACAAGAAAACCCTAGATCTACAGCCGCACATATTACCCTTGTGCGGATGACAGCTCGAGAAAACCTGCAGACACGTACTTACCTATCTTGTCCACTTCTGACGTCCTAAATGTGACGCACATGAACATCTGGCCGTTGCTTCTGGCATTGTTGGGAAAGCTGTAGCGGCCACTGTGCAGTCCGTCCACGAATCTGGGCGCGCTATGCAGGAGCCACACGCCGACGTCGTTGTCGAAGAGGACGACCCCTGCGGTCAAAGACGTCATAGTTGAGGCTTCAGCCCGCCTGCGTCACAGATGGCTTTTCAGTGAGGCCCCCTCATACCAACATGTTGGAAGCAACGTGAAGCGATGCGAAGTCAGGTGTCTCCACGTTAACGATTTTAGGTACCATGCTTCCAATTAGTGGGATAGTCAGGATGAACGGTGGAAGTGCCTCAGACAGGCTGGCCAAAGTTTCGATAGGAGAACTTATCTTTGTCAAATGCACCTTGTCATCCTTGGCATGTTAGTTTTAGGGGGTTAATAGTGACGTCACTTTCTGGTGGTGGCGCGTCTTCTTGTTGGCAATTGCCGTCTAAAAATAAAAAAAAACTATAAGACAGAGGAGTGCAGTCTTCGCTTCATTTGAAGTTACTACTTTTCTCCCCCATCCTCCAAGAACATTTTTAACTTGAAATGAAGCGAGGACTCCACTCCTCTGCCTTATAGTTTTTTTTTCCAGACGGTGATTGCCAACAAGAATACGCGCCACCACCAGGAAGTGAAGTCACTATTAACCCCCTTAAACCTAACATGCCAAGGATGACAAGGTGTCTTTGACAAGGATAGGTCCTCCTATCGAAACGTTGGCCAGGCTGTTTTAGGCACTTCCACTGTTCATCCTGACTATCCCACTACGCGTTTCCATCTGTCGGCTCCCATCTAGATTTTGGATTTCTATGCTTCCAATTAGGCACATAAAGTTTTGCTAGTTATATCGAAATTTAGCTGGCTGCTGTTGTACATGATCATTTTGCTGAAGATGGTACAACGTTCGACATGCTCCACGTACCGTTTCGCGCGAACCATATCAAAAGTACACTTTTTTTCTTTGCTCGAATTTGGAAACGTATTTGCACTATATAACTAGCCTGAGATTTGATCTCGCTAATGCAAAAGCAGACGATGAATGACTTCAGAACAAAAGTACGTTTAACATAGTTTTACTATAAGTTCAAAAGCTTTAAGGCGCTTGGGTTAACGTTATATGGGAGTATTTTCCACCATAGGCTACTGAATGCCTTTAAAAAACGCCACATTGATTTGAAGCATTTTCAGACTTCTCCCTAGGCTCCATCTGCAAGGGTTAATGTCCTCAGCTTACCCCATCTACATTGTTTTATTAATTCAGAAGACAGAAATGTCCCGGTGGTGTAGTTATTACTTAGAACAGTGAGCTTGTAGGCTGTTTAACTGAACAACTATTAGGGGACCAGCGCGAAAGGCGAGGACGCAATGAGGCACATGAAGGACCACATGAAGAGCTCCATGTGGTTTACGGGCCTTATCCTGGCCTCATCTTGCGAACCACTTTGAAGAAGGTTAAAGACCACGTCATAGTGCTCCCTTGACATTATCAAACCCACCATGCTTCAGCATCTGTAGGTGAAGAACAAGCGTTCATGACGTCAGATGCGAGGTATTGATCCCTCAATCGTTGGAACTACGCTTACTCATAATGCGCCACTGTATAGAAGGTGCGTAAGATATGTTCGGTGAATGGCCACATATGGTAAAAACGCGGCAGAAGGCTGCAGTATTTGTGAGACTTCAAGGCGAATGCCTGCTGTACACAAGGCAGTTCTTTACCTTGTACACACGCAGTTCAATAGCATGACGGCGAAGGTTGGTGACCAATAAGAGTATTAAAGGACACAGCTTTTACTAAGCAAGTCCTGTCCCACCATTGTTTAAAAAGCAGGGTTATGGATGCGCAGCTTCTTGTCCATAATGTCCGCCAGGAACTTGTATTCCAAGAACTCATTACCTCCCATCTGTTCTTGCCGTGAGCCACATGTCATTCACGTCATAGCCAAAAGCATGTAACCACTCCATTTATTTTTTTTTCATTCCCTGCGAAGCATGTTGAGATTTGTACGAACGGGGGGTGGTAGGGGGGAAGCAGCGATGAATCGTTGTGCCCCCCCCCCCCCCTACTAGGAGGGGAACCTCGAAAGCACCCTCCTTTGCTTACAGTTTCGTAGAGGTTCACAACCAATGTACCAAAGTCGGAGTCGTACAGCAATGGCATAAATTATAGAGATTACTGAGAAGGTAACTTCCGATTGCTGAGACGCGAAAAATAGGCTGTTTGCAGCTCTTCTTTTGTTTACTTTTCATGGCAGAGCCACCATGTTTGTTTAGACCGAATGGCATTCGACTGCGAACCAGAAGGTCAGGGGTCAAATCCCGGCTGCTGCAGCCGGGTTTTTGATGAGGTCAAACATGCTTGAGACCCGCACACTTCAAGTCAGGTGCGTGTGAAACTCCCTTAAGAAGTTAAAATTCCCGGAGCCCTCCACTATGACGTCTGTCATAATTATGACGGGGTTTCGATACGATAAAGTCCAAGTAATTAGGCTGTACAAGACTATTCACTACAAACTACGCTTTTCTCAGGCACAAGACTTTTTCTATAATTGATTCCCAGGAAGGGTTATGTAGTTTGCCAATTAGTTTTATTCACACTTGGGACGTACGGCTACTAAGGGCCTAGAGATTAAAGGGACACTAAAGGCAAATAACAATTTACGTCAGAGGGAAAACTCAATGTATGACAACATCTAAAACGACAAGATTATCAACAACAGTGCCCTATTTACCGATAAATTAGGGTAAATGCACAAGAACACAAGCGCTGCAGTAACACATTTACAAAATGATCCCGATGACATGAGACAGACCGCCTACAATTATTGACTAGTAATCGATCTAACTCCACTAAATAAAGAGCCTTTCGCGCATCAAGAGACGCAATAAAATGCTGCTTATTCTTTCTTTGATTCATGGAAAAAAGAACCACCGAACGTTTCTATGGGGAATGGCACGAGTAGTTCGAAAATTCAATTTTCGTGTGGTTACACGGGACAGGTAGTGTCATCTAGCGGGGCGCAATTGAAACAAAAAACGTCTGCAATTTCGAGGCCAATGGCGGGAAATTGATGAATTGCCGTTGTTGCTGTTGTGGCTCTCGCTACTTTCGGTCTGCTGCTACGAGCGTAGTAAAGCCGGGCAACGTTGTGCCCGGCAACAGTGGCGTGATTCGGTCCGGTCCGTCCGCTTCTTGAGGCGGGTAATTTGAAGTGGGCTAACCAGATGCGGACCACTAGAACGGGAATTTATTTCAACATAGGCCTTTCTTCGCACAAACGTAACACTACGAGGTTTCTGGACCACTATTTCAACACTCAACGTTGACTTAATAGTTGCCTTTAGTGTCCCTTTAAGGAAGTGGTGTCACAGTCAATGTTCAAGCAGTAATTTTTTGACGGATGTTTTGGAATAGACAAGCTTCCACAAAGAAATAAGTGTACGTCACTTTTGCACCTTTGCTGTGGCCAGCCCGGGTTCCTTTGATGTGCGAAGGTGGCTGGTCATTGTACACGAAGTACAGAATATCCTAAAATTCAGAGAAATAAAAAACAAAAAGTTAGTTTACTATCCCGGATGTCAAAAAAAGAACAAAAGCAAGAGAAATTATATGCGGAAAGAGTAGATATAAGGTGTTTGGATAGATTGATGAACAGACAGATGGACTTAGATGCAGCCTTAGAGACGCAGCCTTAGAGACGAATACTTGTCCTCTCTAAGGCTGCATCTGCTTTCCTATATAGAGAGTGTATGCATATGCCTCAAATCCCTTCTTCCACGCAAACGAAGGAAGAGGATGGCTCAACTCTGAAAGTAGCTGGAGAAGTGAGGAGGGGTCGGCGCGTTGAATTGTGCAAGTCAAAAGAACGGAATGAACATACAATTAAAAGGAAAACGTGGGGTGCGGCATTTGCATCAGAGCTTGCGAAAGATATGTAGACGGTTCGTTTCATTATGGTCGTCATAAAGAAGTTTCACCTGACTATTATATGAATTTCATGGCTGAAAATTCTTAGATAAAAAGTCTAAATCTCACTGTTTTTATATGCACCATATACCCTTTTGTGTTATTGTGTAAAAGTCACTCGTTTCCTCCAAATATATGTTTCTGTATTGTACTTGGTCTTCTCAATATTTTGATGGTCTCAGTTTTTTACGTATTTTCGTATCTTGCTACGGGCAAATGTGTGGTAATTGTAGGGTGATAGTTTAAAGCATATGCTCATATATGCTTTCTTCTTTTTTTTTCATTGCGTCTTTTGTGTTCCTAGAAAAAGAAATCACTACATTGAAGCGAATGTATGGACGAAGAGACCCTAGTCAGACAGAGAAATTCTGTATTTACTTCCTTGAACGTATGCGAGAACTTTTGAGGGTAAATAAACCAACTGAATAAATATCTGATGGAATTAAAAGTGCATTTTGAAATGTTTTCACCATTTGGGTAGAGTATATCACACTTGTGGATATGGCGTGACCCTTCATATTTTATCTCTCTCGGTGATCTGACATTCGACTTAAATGTGTAAAGTTTTGATTAATGATTTGATTGATATGTTGGGTTTAACGTCCCAAAATCACCATATGATGATGAGAGACGCCGCAGTAGAGGGCTCCGGAAATTTCGACCACCTGGGGTTTTTTAACGTGCACCCAAATCTGAGCACACGGGTCTACAACATTTCCGCCTCCATCGGAAATGCAGCCGCCGCAGCTGGGATTCGATCCCGCGACCTGCGGGTCAGCAGCCGAGTACCTTAGCCTCTAGACCACCGCGGCGGGGCAATATGTGAAGTTTTATATTATTGAAGTTGGCAACTTCCACATTTAGTTTCTGTGTCACTGCTTTCAGCAGTTCATTTGCCGTGTCTCACGTGTGCTGTTTGTGACGATATGTAGGGTTTGCGAAGTTATGAACAGTGGGGGATCATTGAGATGACGTTAGACTGTACTTGAAATGAAAGGCATAATTAGTTCCGGCGCTTTAATTATGAAGTCATTTTGAAAGTGTTTGTAAAAATGGTGCTTGAGCGAGCGCAAGGTTTTATTCGGACAGTATAAAGAGTATTTGCTTTTTTTCACGGACTAACATACCCTTAAATCCTAATTAAGCTGACTGGAAATTTTAACTTACACACAGCATATCTTGATAGCCTTTCTCTCAAAATAAAACGTGATATATATAAATCCGCATTGTCTACCTTGGACAACAGAGTGTTTTGAAGGACATATTTATGTCTGGGAACATCGTTGAATGTACTTCGCAAGCAACGATAGCCCTTTTGAAATTCTTAAAAACTTCCGGCTTCATCGCCAGCCTCTACAACTAACGTCGGCCCTATGCAAGTCAGGAGTTTGCGTAGATGATGTGTGCGAAACACACATGTGCAATCACGAACAATATAAAAGGGAACACCTAGTAAGTGTTCAAGAAGCGAGTACCCGTGATTCGGATGCGAATGTAGCGTATTGATTTGCAAGAGATGCCTTTCAGCTGGAACAGTTAACGTTATGAAGACTTGTATGTTTGGGAGAGAGGTTCAGGCACTATGATCTGTTAAAAGCACGTCATTGCTCTCCTTGGTATTGTTCGTGAGAGTACATCACTCACTGCACACTATTACTCTCTCCGAGTACCCCTATCTACTTTCTTTGTGCTCACCCCTTCCTCCAACTTAGAGTAGCAGGCAGGTTACGAACTCACTGGGTGTTAAGGTTCAACATAACCCACAGAGAGAGTTCCAAGTAAGCTTACTAAGAAATCGTGAAAGTTGGAACTTGTCTTTTGTGCTTTCTTTCTTGTAGGCCTGTGTCTTGTTAGGGCTAGCCATCCAGACCTTAGAACTGTTTTCGCGTAACATCTTCTGTCTTTCTCTGAAAAGTGAAGTATATGTGAAGGGCCGGTCTGTGAGGTTAACTAAATGTTCGCATTCGGTTCGCTACCCTATACTTGCGTGGAGAAATAAGCAATTATAAACGCTGCCTCAACAAGTGCCGGTAGATGGCGCCACATATTCCCCTACCGTTGCCGCCCAATATACACTCGTGTAGATTGAAATAACTCGTCACCTGTCTCATGGTTGTCTCGTAAAGAGGTTGAAGCGTGAACGCCACCGGGTTCCTGTCTGAGAAAATGTCCTGCTTAGACAGCGGCCAGTAACGCAGTCCATTGGGTCTACTGTTGACGGCGTCTATGTACATGAATTCGCCTCCTTCTGACTTGAAGGCACCATTCGTGTTCCGGGGAAGCTTGTACATGATGAACCTGCGAGTAAGATTCGGGCAGCTTTGTTTAATGTCCAGTTTTCAAAAGGCGAAAGTCTTAGATATCTCCAAACGCGAACTTTGACCGTTGGTACCATCTATCTCATCATGACGTCGCACCCCACCAAAACATGTGACGTTACCATGACGTGACACGAGGACGTCGCCGTATAACGTAATCGCCTGGTTCAAAATGCCTATGAAAGAGGCTGTGCCAACTCGCGAGCACGCGACCAGATGCTCATACTGTGCCATGTGGCCAGGGTATACAGGAGGTGAAAAGTGCCTTTTAATACTTGTCGCCATTGATTCTCTAGGGAGCACACATACTTAGCAATCTATTTTTAGATGCGGAAGCATCTTACACTCGCGCCTTGTAGTGCGCCGTTCGCGCCGTCCGCGCCGTCCGCACCGCTTCTCGAACATTCGACAGCTGACGCGCGCGCATGCGCCGTCGCGCCGTCGCCCACTCTTCCACCATCTGTGCATCCCTTCCTCCTCTACACACCGCGCGCGCTTCACTCCTCCACCATCTGTGCACCCTTCCTCCTCTACACACCGCGTTCGACATCTACAATTCTCCTGATTCTCCAGTGGACGCGCATGTGGCGTCGCGCTTCGAGAACATTCAACAGCTGACAGTGCATGCGCCGTCGAGCTGTATATATACTCAAGGTCGGCGCTCGCTCGCTCAGTTGCCGCTCGTCGGTTGGTTTGTACGGCGCGTCGACGTCCAAGGTCGCGGTGAAAAAAATTCCAACGAATCCACAAACACAATGATCGACGTCCCTTCGACCAGCGCCGCCCTTTCGCATACGTGTGTACGTGTTCACTCATTTAACACCCCCTCCTACAACCACGTTAACCAATTTAGCCATCGACCCAAGTAAGTCGCAATTTAACACCCCATTTCACAACCACGTTAACCAATTTAGCCATCGACCCAAGTAAGTCGCACTTTAACACCCCGTTAACCAATTATATGCTCCGCATCCTCCTCAGTGTTCCCCCGAGGGAAGCTGCGGGCAATTTTTTGAAGGACCTTGAAGGCTTGGTTATATGTTTGACTCAAGAAATCGACAGCTGAAAATCGTGATGTGAGTACACCTTCAAGCCTGAATAAAACTCCAGACGACAGCACTCTCTGGCGACCGGTGAATAAAACCTGGCTTCCTGTTTTGCCGGTGAAGGTCATGCAGTGGCATGCGTGGGGTTATTTTGAAGCAAAACTACTACTCGGTCTAGTTGGAACATATTCATTTTGAAGTTTTTTTTCGCAGGCACATGGGGACAAAGATGATAAATAGAAACAGGCGCAGCCTAACTGGTGATTTTTTTTTTGAAAACGTTCGCTTAGAAACCATCAGATATGCGCAATCAGTTAAAAAAATGAACAGTGCACATGGTATAACATGTGATGAACATGTCGATTAACATGCTCAATGAACAGAAGACAAGAGCGAAATTTTGTTTTCAAGCAAAAACTGATGGTTGGCTAATACACTTTTGTTTCAGCTTGTCAATGTAATATGCTTTCATTGCCTTTCTCGAAGTCCATGCCTATATTCTAGGGTGTTATTATAACAAGGCCTGAATGCGCACTCATTACAATCTAGAGCTAAATGTGTAGTAGGGTAATCTTTGAGACTCGACATATATTCCCTTAGCATCATGGTAATACATCCACAGGGTTATTATCTATTAGGATGGAAGGGGGGGAAACAACTGCACAAAGGATGAATGGATGAATGTATTAACTTTATTATGCCCTTCGGAATGCACTATAGCACGTTGCGGGCCGCTCCCACACCGGAGCAGAAAGATGAAGTATCTCTGCTGCATCGCGGGTCCGTTGGACTTCCTATAAGTGTTTGTCCGAGTTCGGAGCTAGGAATAGCACCCTCTTATTTTGAAGGCATGATGATTCTACCAACGCATAACGTGGGGAACCACCAGAACATGGGTTTCAAATTGCACAGAGAATGTAAAATTGAAATTTAAACGATGACGTATTTCTCACAAAGGCCTATCATTGGTCACCGTCACTCAGAGGACCATAGGCAGGGCTTTATGGGAAACGCTGGAAGTAATCATATCTTTGAACCTAAACTTCGAAATTCTTCGTCACTGTTCTTGTGCAAAAAAGAAACCCATTATAAGCCGTAAGACTGCACATTAAATAACACGAGTGTATTGACTTCGCGTATGAGCGTATTGACTTCGCATAGTTACGGCGCAGAATTTGCACCCACCATCACGCACTTTAGAGGAGGAGGGATGCAGCCGCCTTCTCTGTCCTGCCATTGAGGTCATGTATACTGAATTCTTAGGTTGACATTCAGTACCTTTACGGGACGTAGTAGCAACAACATCGTAAAATACCCACGTTCACGCCACGGGCGCGGTCGTTCGTGAACTTACCAGTCAACATCTTTTCCCTCTTGATTCTTGCACCTTGGTGATGAAAGCGCCACGGAACCAGTCAGAGAAATGATCGTATACGCGATCAGTGATAGGACGTACTTCATTGCACTCTCTGATCTTGCAAGATCTTGACTTTCAATGAACCGTCAACGTTAAGTCAAAGTGAAATTAAGCAATTTGGCTCTCGATTTGGAATCCCTCAGTACACTTTCCTCTGATCTCTGTCAGTAAAGAGAAGAAAATTTGCTCGGCGAACGAGAAGATCGACTGCAACCCTAGCACGGAAGCACTGCATCTGGGCTCAGCAGTCCCTCTCATTTATAGCAAACTCTGCGGGTCTCGTTAATCTATAAGATCGCTGGGGTGGAAGAAAACTGACACAGCGGAAAACCCCACCTCGCAGTTGCCATTTCCGTAGCCAAGTGGCAACGTAAAATTGAGGTACAAGAGAGAGAGAGAGAGAGAGAGAGAGACTGTTCCGACTTTCACCATTCAATATCCGCTTATCTGCAAACAAGCTCAACATTCCCAGCAATGTCGCACCGTGACCGGGGATTTTTTTTTCCCCGCGTCGTGTTCCGGGTCGGTATCTTTCGTCCAGAATGAGGGCATATCGCAGTAATAGGAGAAACCTTGTCGGGGTCGACCAACTGTCAAAAGAGTTCCCTCTTCTCACAGTGCAATATCATGCCGCCACATCACCCGTTGTACTGACCTTTCTTGCAACTAGCATCGCAATCTCCTACGTTTAAAACTTCTGACAGGGGCTCAGCTTCACGCGTTTCTTTAGTACGCAAACGCAACAACGGAGATCAGACTGCAGGAGGTATATAAGATATCTAAGAGTAAATTTGGCAGGTCCCACGTTTATTGGGAATCAACGTTTTGCAAAGCATGCGTCGACAAGCTGACTGTGGTGTAACTTTTTTATTAAGCGAAACTCTATGAAATTACATTACAAAATTCTACCGGAGCACAAGCTCCGGCAGAAGACAGCCGCCCTGGGCTTCCTTCGGCCGGAGCTTGTGCTGCTGAAAAGAGAACCCCGCGGCTGCTGCCAGGTGGCAGCAGCAAATCGTCGGTAGAGAGCATTTTCGTGCATGGCGTCGCATTTTCGGAGCAGCGTAAGAAACACGATGGTCTTTAGAATAACGTTTCAATGTATTCTTCTAGTAAAGAAACACGCCACCTAATGCTTACGTATTTTGCTGGCGCCAAGGATTTACGTAACGTTTGCTTTTTGACCGACTGTGTTCCCAAGTATGAATGCAGCAACCACTTCAAGATGGCCGGGTGTTAAGCAAGTGCTTAAACTTTGGCCGTGTGGCTGAACCTTGTTACAGGCAGGCAGCCAGATAAACAGGCAGACCAGTAGCTCGGCCTTCAAGTATTCCAAGAAAGACTATAGTTTAGAAAAAGAAACAATTACACATTCGAGAAAACTGCATTAACAGAGAGGCTATCCTCCATTCGGCGCCCATGTATCTTGAGTCTTGTTAACTTGCTTGTCTTTTTTTACCAGCCCCTTTCTGTGTGTCAAGACATTGTCTAACATAAATACCAAGCCATCATGATCACGAAAATTCACAAACTTAAAAGAGACCATCTGCCCAACCCCGCGTTCCCTGATATAGTTCCTTATCGCTACAACAACACCACCCAGGAAACCACTAACGGTACAAACGAGCACCCATCTGGGAACACACCCTGTGACACTGTGGTTGTAAACTTATCGGACACGAGCTTGTCACCTCACGAAGAAAAACTGCTATCTAAGGGACTAAGCTTCTGCCCGATTACAAAATTTTTCGATGAATTCCACTTGCTCCGAGACCTCGACAACTTCGCTCGAAGCTTAAGGTTGCGCGAATATTTCTTGAACAGGCCTTCTAACCACGAAACAATTCACCGTCATAAATCGAATGATTAGACACCGAACAGTAATCGAGACAAGTGCTTGGACCTTTATACCACCACGGTACAGAAAGATATAGTACACGAACACCACAGACAGAAAGGAAACCGAGAAAACTTGACAAAATCTGAAAAATTAAGTATGAGAAATTTGGCATCTAGGACAGACATAACAATAAAACCCGCTGACAAAGGAGGAGCAATTGTAGTCCTTAATACAACCAACTACTTACAAGAAGCATACCGCCAACTAGACTACTCAAGATTTTACGAACGCCTCCCACGTGATCCGACAGACGAATACAAACGTATCGTATCAACAGAACTGTTGGATGCAGAAAAGATAACCAACACTGACCACAAAGTGATGCGAGCAGCATACCCTCGTCCAGGTCGCTTCTACATCCTTCCAAAAACTCATAAACCCGGTAACCCAGGTGGACCAATCATATCAGGCATCAGTACAATAACTGAACCCATATCAGGGTACGTGAACAAACTAATAAGCCACATTCCATGCACCCTCGCGTGGTACATAAAAGACACCACACATTTTCTTCGAGAAAAACTCGTACTTGGTTACTCTTGATGTCTCTTCATTGTATATATATATATATATATATATATATATATATATATATATATATATATTGTAAGCGACGAGAAATAAGAGACAACGCCTTTGCTGCAGGCCGGCTGTTCTTATTCTGCTTCGTCTTCCTCCTCTTCCTTCCTAGCATGCGAGTCTGTGCCAGAGAGAGTTCCAGTTTCGGTTTTCGTCATTACACTCGGCCATGACTGCTAGCATTGTCGTTGGGCCAAACGACAATGTTCTGGTAGGTAAGGCTAGCTGCAGCAGTTGACAGTGCTTCAGGTGGGCGAGGTTGGCTACATCGTCGTGGTCGGTCTCGACCACGCTGGAAGTTTGTCGAAATTGGCTCCGGCGGCCGACACTGGCTATGTCGTCTGGGTCGTTCACCGTGTCGTGATGGAGACTGGGTCCTGTGCGCGCGCGGAGCTGGCGGTAAAGTTTTTGGTGGGTGGGCTTGACTTTGTCGCCGTGGTCGAACTCGTCCATGATGCAACGTTTCCTGACAACTCGTAGAATGCAGTTCAGGTGGACGGCCCTGACTGTTCCGGCAAGGTCGCAGAGTAACCTGGAAACGCTGGTGTTTGTCCCACCGTCGCTGGTGGACTGAACTGCAGCGGGATGCCCTGCGAGGCAGCCATGATGACGTTTGGGCCATTTCTTGAAATGAGATGGGACGCAGCTCATGGTTGGGCATAAATACCACAGCAGAACTCCCAGACGTAGTCGAGCCGGTGGCTTCTGGCGAACTGTCATGTGCAAACATCGTATGCTGGGAGGAAACAGCAGGAGGGCTGGTCCTCGGCAAGTTCTCGATGGCAGTGGCCTCAGCGTAGCTAGGTATCTGGGCTTTCTCGAAGGAAACGTTCCTTGGTAGCCGAGTGTCTGCGTGGCTGAGCATGATCGTGGTCTGGTAGGGTTCAGTTGTGTCTAATACAATAGGATTGAGTGCCTCGATGTCCTCAGACGACGAGCGCGAGGGCCGTATCTCCGGACGAAGGTCTGGTGGGGGTATTTTCAGGTCGAATACCGATGCAGAGTCCGGGACCTGTAGTGTAGGATTCCAGCCACTTCGGTCAGGGTCAGCAGCAGGGAACTCCTGGCAGCATTCCGTTGACGAGCTGCAACGAACGATTGCAGCCTCGAGGCGGGGCGCTGCCTGGGCTCCATCCTCGGCCTCGGGGAAGATCGAGCTGGACTTGCTGGAGTCACAGGAAATCCGTCCGAAAGCGGCAATCAGGGCTGCACTCCATTCTGCCCAGGACTGCTGCCTGACGCCTTCGTACCTGTGCCATGCTGCGGCAGCATCCCGCAGGCGATCTATGGCCATGTCCCACTTCTGCTCTTCAGTCGTTCCGAGAGCGTTGACGGTTGCCACCCATTCCTCGGCGTCGTCCTGGAAGCCGCGAAATTCCGGTAGCGCGAAGGAAATCGGCGATGGCGGGACGGCGGGCAGAACTCCGAAATGTGCCCCCGCCAAGCAGTTCACTTGCTCCGATACCTCCGCGAGAGAACGCCGGAGATTGCGACGGTTCTCGGGCGAGCTTACCTCGAAGTTTTGTGCGGCGGCCGCAGCCAACATGGCATTGAGTGCGCACAATGTTGGCAAGATGGCAGGACATAGCTTGGAACTCGACGCTATGAGGGCGTTGGTCGTGACACGGAGTTGCGCGATGGTATGCTGCAGCTCCGCTGCGCTGTCGTGTGATCCGCACGAAGAGCCAAGGCCCGCCTCTGCGGAGGATACAGTGACTGTGGTATTCGAGGTGGTACAATTCTTGACCAAGGACGCGTGGACGGCGTCCCTTGGAAATCCAGCTGTGGTCGGATTCGTGGACATGGGTTCCAGGGCGCTGGAAGCGTCAACGACGTTCCCAGGCAAGCGGAACCCGTGTGATGAGTTGTGACCTGGTACTGTGGCGTAGATGAAGCGGTCTTGCGCCGCCGGGTAGGCCTCGACGCCGTACACGGTGGGTGCTTGAAGCGCCGACAGGTTGCCAGGTATGGAGGAGGCATGTACGCCATCCCTAGGTGAGAGAGGCCCGTGCGCATGGTTGCCGCGACGTGTCGCGTCCCAGGACAAGTTTCCCGGAACCACAACGGAGGCCTGGACGCCATCCGTCGGTGCTGGGATCGATGCTGGCCGCGACGGACGCCTTGCGGGTTCCATCAGCGAAGAAGCGTGACGGCGTTCCTTATCGTGAACTGGTACCGGTAACGGGTGCTGGAGCCGCCGAGGAGGCCTTGACGCCGTCCCCGAACGGTGGTGTCAGTAAACAGCTGCCGAGGAGGGCTTGACGCCGTCCTCAAGCGACGCTTACCGCGGCTGCACGTCGGCGGGCGTTCTGGATGACGAAACCGAGACGTAAGCCGTTTTCTTCGTCGACTGCGCCATTGTAAGCGACGAGAAATAAGAGACAACGCCTTTGCTGCAGGCCGGCTGTTCTTATTCTGCTTCGTCTTCCTCCTCTTTCTTCCTAGCATGCGAGTCTGTGCCAGAGAGAGTTCCAGTTTCGGTTTTCGTCATTACAATATATATATATATATATATATATATATATATATATATATATATATATATATATATATATATATATATATTTATTTATTTATTTATTTATTTATTTATTCATATATATATAGTGGGAGTAATAATTCAATGGGCCAGTTAGTCTTCGTGAAGGTATGGGATATGGCACAACGGAAGCGTTGTCAATGTCAACAAGCATAAATATATTTATTTCCCAACAATTTCGGGAGCATCAGGGGATGAGTTATACTAAACTCATCCCCTGATGAAGGGAGGACCCCTC